AGAATTGGGGGGTTGAAAACAGGGGGGGATAAAAGTGAAGCTGGAACGGGACGATAAGGGTGAAAAAGCGCAAGAGGGGGAATAAGAAGACGGGAAGGCTTGAGCAGTAGCATCCAAACCCCTATCTACCCTGCCCGATGCAGCAGATAGGGCACCGTTGATTATCCTCTGCGGTGGCCAGAGCATCAGAAATTTGTTTGAAGTATGATTCATAGTATTGCGTGGGCAGGATACTGTCAGGTTGCCCAGGCCTAGACAGAAGTACGATTAGGGTTCTCAACCAAAGCCTTTGGTTAAAAAACCTGACCGCAATGCAGCGGGTTTGGCATTGGGCTACAAGGAGTCCGTTTTAAGGAATAAGGAGCCACCCTCATTCCAACCCCCAACCTGGAGGACCAGGAGGCTGAGTTTGTCTGGCCTCTAACCATTGACCAATCTGGTATGAGTGGCTCTGAAGGTGCAAAAAATGCACCACCCAGTATAGCTCAATGGATCACTGAGGCACACAAACCATCGCACCACGGTAAGGTCCAGCCTCATTGCGATGGTGTTTCCGAGCTACGGTCAGTGAAAACCGCAGTGCATCTATCATAAGGCCACTTATCTTCAGAGGTGTCCTTTAACTTCAACTTGCGGTTGCGCATCTGTACACACTTAAATAGGCATATTCGCTACAGACGCATTTTCTGTGAAGTCATTAGCAATCTCATGTTGGGCAGCGTGGAGCAAACAGCAATGGAAGAAACAGTCGTGCTTACGACATTTCCATTAACAGTGAACGTCACAAAACTCTCTACTCCCATCGAGATGCCTCGTTTAGATTTTCCCGACTGCTGCTTCCTGATGCAATAGTCTCTTCCATTGGGCTGCTACCAGAATATGTATTTGCTCTACGTAACACGCCATGAGACGTTTTACTTACGTATCCTGTCCACACGACACTAGAGTGCACATTCATCTCGGGAGTGCAACTACAAGCGCTTGACGGAACTGCTTCGAGCCAGTTACCAGGACATTTCACCATTAGCTATCGAGACCAACAGCTGAGACATCAGTCCATGTGGTATGGGATACCAGTCAATGTATTTGCTTCAGTTTTTCCATTACTGGTGGAGTTTGACCACTTGGATTGCAAAAATTATCTCTTACGCATGTGGCAAGGCGGACGTTATTCGTTCCTTATCATCTTAAGAATATTGGACTGTAGGCTGGTGCTGCGGTCTCTTGATCCCTCTGATTCACTGAGCCATTCCGCGTGGTGCTTTTAGGCTCAGTGAGAGCTCCTCCTTACGGCTGAGGGCCTCCCTCTCCTTGAAGGTCATCCTTCTATGCTGTGCTTATTCGCTGTTTCCACATCTGCTGTAGCCGGCTGTATTCATGATGTTACTGATGACTTCAGCATGAATTCGTCACCCAGCTACGCTCTGCTAAAACTCCGTATGCGAAATTAAATCGTTCAAACTTCTTCGAAGCTCGGTCCGAATGTCTGCTCGAACTTCGTCATGAGTGTATGGAGAGTGAAATACATCATTCAGCCACAGTTAATGCGTTTGTGACACCTAGAGCCTCACGGTTTGTTGATCGTGATGGGATCCATTAGATCGCCTCGGATGACGTGAATCCATTTTTGACTGCGGTACCTTTTTGGAACTGCATGCTTGAACTCAGTTCGTACGCCGACATGCTGCTGATTTTCTTTACATTTGCTAGTAAACTGACGGCCAAAAGGCGATCTTGGACCGCTGGTGAACAAGCCTGCTGGGTTGGTTTAAAGATATAGATTATCAGTGAAATAGGATCTCTGTTGTCCTGTCTGTTGATAAAGCATCTGGTTTTTGCGAAGAGGTCAATTTATGTGTCCACACAGCGTTGGTCATTTGAAGCGACTGGTATATTTCCAGCTAGACCGGGCAATCCCTTTCGACTTCTTATTTGAGATTCTATTTGCTAGCATGCAGTTCAGTAAGTTTCAACATTGTCGCGACAGGCAACGTCATAACTGGTGTTATCAGCTCGATAGGCACAACGAATCCTCAGCTTGAGCTCGTCTCAGCTCAGGTAATTCTTATCTCCTTCTTGGGTGTTGATTTTCCCTGGCGTCTCAGTTTCTTCTTTTTGGCTTCGCTGCTGAACGCATTTGCGTCGACTGAAACTGGTTTCGAATTCTGTTTGACACTAACTTGTTCGCATATTGGGAACCTTTCTATCCACATCTGGAGCCCCACTTCTGCCAAATGTACACTCACTTTCGCTGCTAGTCTACTGACTGGATGTTATAGACGCCCCAACGTGAACGGTATTATTTTCGCGGCTATAGGTGTATGTTAGCTGTTCTGGCGGATGCAGATTTAGGAATAAAGCTTGCGCCTGAATCCATGATCCCTACCGAGCTTTGTGGTGGGACATCTTAAGGGTTAGAATAACTACAGGTCAGTTTGTGCCGTTGAACTCAGATTTGTTTGAAGTTGTACCCGCCGGATTATAAAACCACGTATACCTTACCGAACGACGGGGGATTATATGCACCAAGAGGCGGCAGAAAGAGAACATGCATCGGAGAAACAACCAAACTTGAATATGTATGCAGGTCCTTAAAAGTGACAAGAAAAGATAATTGCTTTTGCTTGATCAACTGGCCTCTGGCACTTTATCATTCATTCGTTTGTGCGTAGACCACAATTTCTTTGACTTTGGCGAGGCATTTTCATAGCTCGGGCTGTACTTTCAACACATTTGGTCCACTGACGAGACATACAGTTTGTTTGGAGAACCGATTCGTCGGCGAAGAATGGCATCGTTAGTAGCGCTCTAGCGTACTTTTGTGGCTACCTACTCTCGATAATATCCCAGCGTTTGCCTGTTCTCAGGCGGTAGATATTTCGCTCTACCATAGGCATGAGAGTATATGATAACAGCGAAGCAGCTGGAGTCAAATGATGGAGTTTCTCACCGAATCTTATTACAATGTTCATACACGAATGTTCGTTACGAGTAGTATCTCGTCGCTATCTACAAGTGGCTGTGTTTAACGGTTAGTCTTACTTCTCTCACAGCTTGTAGTCGAACTCCAACTCTAGGGTTTGTATCCTCCTTTGAATTTATAATCGTTTGTCTGCCCTTTTAGTTTCGATCAATCAGAACATGGGAACAGTCGATCGCCACTTGTTCCGTACCGTTGACTGAATTAGTTGCGCTAAATTCCCGTATTTTTCTTTGTCTTTATCCAATGTCAGTGAATGAGAACACTGAGTACTCTTATACCTTTAGCTGCCGACTGGTATCCGCCATTTCATACTACTGAGTGGTGATGGAAGGCAGCCCATCGCGCGGCTATGATATTCTAAACTGTCTTCTCGTCGACGCACAAGGTAGAAGGTAACGAAAGCCCGCTACCGACTGGGCAACATCCATCCTCCATTCGCTTCCTGGCTATTTCAAACCGCGTCCAAATATCATGCTCCGTTGGCCTCAGCAAGAGAAACAGTGGCAACCGTTGCCTTCATGTTCCAAGTGCCCTTGCCTATGCTCGGTCGTTCATTTCTCTTCTGATATCGGTTGACGGACACATCCCGTTATTCTACGACCACCATCTTTAAAGTCATGGTATCATATCGCCAAAACTAAAACCTGGGTTCACTATTGACTATCGAATCAAGCACTAATGCATCTGTTTGGTTCTAACTCTTAGACATTGTGCTTTTGCTTGTTTTGGTCAGAGCGGCATTAAAACGTAGGCTTCATCTATGTCACGCCGGGATGCCGTCTACCTCTGACCACAACTGAGTCCAGATTCACTGTAATGAAGCTCTACTTTCCGCTCCTATCATTGCATTAGGGCGGTTTTCCTCTACTGATGGCGGCATGCTTTACTAACTTTCGCTGTAACGTGCTGCGAGGTGTAACGTACGCTAAGCCATCACGTACACTGTTCTTAGGGACTAAGAACTACATGACTCCATTCCACGCACTCCGGCGTCTTCCATTTATGGCAATTTCTGTTTTCAGTCAAAAACATTGAACGTCAAATCGTTTCACATGATGACGCTGAGCAGTTCTTGTTATTTGATCCTATGAGCTGCACACTGGGTTTCGTAAATTCCTTAGTGGTTTGTAAGCTGATGAATGTTAGGCCACTGTGATCGATGGCGCTTACTATACAGTATGGCTTTCTCCCATTGATTGATCTCTCTCCACCTTTCATTCGACTGCTTTCTGTTTTCTTTCACTTCTCTTCCTTTTATATTTCTGGATGATTGTAATGCCGCTGATCGTCGGCACTGACTAATGCTATACTGTTGAAACTAGCGCCTCTAATGGCTGTGACAGTTGTCTGCGATGAGCGATGCCCCCACAGCCACCTCCGGAACCAGGAGTTGTTTGATGTTATGTTTTCAATGGGTCACCACCGTGCTTTGCGCCTCATCCCCTTTTTGCGTTCCATCGTTTCATAGTATTCTCCAACAGACACACCGCTAAGGTTAACACATTCGCCAATGACATTTCAGCGCTGTTCCTCCTCGCTAGGAGTAATTTGCAGTTTGGTTTTTCATTGTTATAATTCGCGGTTATCCGTTAATTCAATGTATAGCGATTTGCTTTTCGTTATTTATTTCCTATAATGCTACTTTAATTTCGGGCGTAGCTTCTTTGAAGCACTTTTCGTGTGGAAAAAAACACCAGGTTGTTTCGTTTTTGTCTGAAAGTTGGTTGTTCAGGATGAATATGACAGTGATGTTAAAAGTTCCAGTATAAATAAGTTACGAGACATCGCTCTATTTTGCTTACTGTTTTCCTTGTCCCACTCTTAAATTTTTCGTAGATTCTCCCTTCAAGCAATTTTCCTATGCAAAAGCCCAATCAGAGATCTTTACCTAACAATATCGCCCGTGCACCGCTTTTTACCAAACAGGACTCACTTCCAGTTGATTTTTCTCATCAATTATGCTGCTTTTCACATAACAATCTTCGTTCCAACACATTTCATCCATCTTTTCCTTCAGGTGTTGTAGCCGAGGATTTCTTGCACTCTACGGCTTCTCAGCTGACCTATCACGGACTGTTTATCCTATCCTCTGCTGTATCTGATGATCAGTTGGCTGTATTCTTCAGGAATAATCACTTCAATACTATTACCAAACACGATGTAAGTCGTTTTCTCGTTTCTACCATGCGGGTAACTGATCTTCCTATGCTGTGTTCTCATATACCCAGAACCGTTTCAACCAACCCTTTTTACATTATTATCATATACTTCGATCGCAACCACTGTGCCTACCATTTGCTCCTGATCTCCAACTGGCAGCTTCAGACTAGGCACTAATTTCAAGGCTTGTTTGTCAGCAGACTTTTTCTCTCCGTAAGACTTCATCTGGGCCTCAGTGATATGATCGAAGTGGTCGCAAGTCTTCCTGTTCTGCATTTTTTTACTTTTTCTATACTTCGCGTTCCGCTGAGTGGCCAGTTGAGAGCTTAAAACCGCTAATGTGACTTAGTTCTCTGTCAGTCACGCCTATCTGAAATGCGATCACTATCGACTCCGCAATGTATCAAATGCTATTGCAAGCTTTGCTTGACACAGTCTCTATTTACTATTACCGAATGCTCACCTGAAGTCGGTGCTCAATTCTTTTATCTGTTTGGTTGTATGACCTGCGGCGGTACAACCACCGGAGCTATTGCTGCACGTAACGGTCCTGCTAATCCCTTGGTACTGTGTTTCAGCACAGTTCGACGATCACATAGATCGCTTGTGTGCTGCTGAATCAAGCCTAACGGGTTAGCTTTGGACTGTTTCACTCTTCTGTTTTCCGCTTCATCTCGGGCGGAATACAGAACATTCCATACCCCAGTCAAAACTGTCCAACCCACTGTCCTAATTAGAGTTCATTTTGATCGACTACTACTTGCACCCATTTCTTTCGGCCCTTGTGTGACATCTCTCTTTTCCGCAGCAAATATTTCATATTTTGCCAACTTCACCTTTGTATACTATTTGGGTCCTGTTTATTATTGAGTCTCACCATCTTGGCTTTTCTGATACTAGTGCGCGCTGTCTCTTAATTGTTGCATTCATATCGAATCTCCATAGGTATCTCTAACCCCCATCCCACATTTTTTGCTACACGTATGCTGTCTTTGGGTCGAAAGTACGGGACATCCCATGCTACCTGTTTCCAATTTTGCCTACGAAAACTACACTCTGCTTCTGTTTGGCGATTTGACTTTGAATTCGAAAATATCACGGCTGCTCGTAGCAGTTTATTACACCGGATTTTTAGGAATAACAGCATTAGCGCGATTCGATTACTTGTTTGACAATCTCTAGCAGAATACTGTATTAATTTCTCTAAGGTCCTTTTATGTTTTCGCTGAAAGACAATTTCGCTCCTCTCTCTTTACCGGGCACAGAGTTGCTGATTCAGAATTAATATCGCCACATCGTTCATTTAAGCAACTATAAGTATTGCGACCACTATCAACCCGCCCGCACCTGTCATCCTCCGTCTGCCAAAGCTGATTTCCTTGTGAATGGCGTAATGACATTCTCCCTACATTTATACCAACACGGCCCTCACTCAGTCACTTAAGGGCTGCATGTAATCCAGTTCATATTGTATTCTCGTTACCGTGGAATATTTTCTCACACTGAAACTAGTTTTGTTTGCGGCTCGAAGTTCCACCGTTATCCACATCGAGCTATTCCCCGACTTCATCACCATAAACCTGGCTCTTCGGCACTACCTCATCTCTTCAACATGGTAAGCGCAACGACCATGAGGCACTGTTCTTCTGCGGCGGACAAAATGTACTTTTTGCTAAACATACGTGAGCACACCAACGATAATTTTCGACTCTTACCTATCCCTTATAGTGGCTTCAGCGAAAATGCTTACAACAGAATGGCAAACGCGTTTTCACTCTTGACTTGCAAACTAATGCAGAAATGTGCTGGCACACCCTCTACTCTTCCCCTCACAGATTAATCACCGACGCCCCTCTGCTGTTTCGCCTTAATGATCAAGTCACCAAAGAGATTGCTGTAAATCACCTCACGACTTGTGCGGCTTTCACGTTCTCGCTCCACCATTTCGGCTGCTGATCATTGCTCAAAGTTTCAATGCTATTTTGGTATGGCTGCCACTGGCCGGCTAAGCGTTGTAGGCATTTTCAAGTGAAGACGTCAGCCAGTCAGCTGTCCTGGGTCGGGAGTTGCGCAAGGGTCTGCAACTGGAACGCAAAGCTTGGTGGTGTTAACGTGCTAGGGAGATGGAGCTTGCTAGTCTCTCTGGTAATATCAGACAGCTTTTCCATCTCGTTCGAGTCACCGAAGGTATTCCATGTGGTATAAGTGAAACACTATGCGAAGAGGGTGGCACCTTAATCAATCTTCAAAGACGGTTGGAGCGATGGGCCCAACATTTTGGCTGACATCTTTGTTGGCCCCCAGCTCCATTTGCTATCTCGCGCTCTCACTGGTGCCGATTGGCCTAATCTTACCAGGAAATCGAGCAGGAACTCTGTCACAAAAAGCGTTATAAAGCCCGCGGCCCTGATGGTCTTCCTTTAGCTCTATACAAAGATTATGACACTTCGCTGGTTCGGGAACTCACTGCTTTGTTCTCGAAAGTTTGGTCGAATAAGGAAGTTCCATCATTTTGAGGTGGATCGATAATCGTCCCCATCTTAAAAATGGTCCTGCGCACAATCTGCTCCAACTACAGAGGCATAAACTTAGTCCCCGTCGTTTGCAAGCTATTGGTGTCCATCATATTTCGCAGGCTATCCCAGTCGCACGAATCGTATCAACGAAAAGAACAAGCTGGGTTTCGGCCTGGTCGTGGCTGCATCGATCAAATCTTCACACTCCGCTGGATCATCGAGCTCCACCACGTGTATCAATGGCCAATGATTGTTGTGTTCTTGGATATCCGTGCAGCCCTCGTTTCTGTCGATCAGACTGTACTGTGGCACTGCCTGCTGAGGAATGGCGTCTCCGAAAAGTTCGTCTCCATACTGCGCTCTCTCTGTCGTCTGACCTCGGGCAGAGTTAGGGTTTATGGCAAGCTTTCGCCTACCTTTGTGGTCTCCAGTGAAGTTCGACAAGGATGCGCTATCTCTCCGTTCCTATCCAACTTTGCCATTGAGGATGTCCTGAAGAACGTTCTGGGCGATTCGTTGAACGCTGGCGTTTAGCTCTCCCAGGTAGTCGAGTTGTTGATTTGGATTATGCTGATGATATCTTCTTGTTGGGTGAGGATCCACACATCGTCCAACTTGCACTAAACCGCTTGGCGATTGAAGCATCGAAGTATGGCATATGCTTTTCGCCATCCAAATGCATGGCTCTCTTTCAAGACTGGCAGGTGCCTCTGCTTGCACTTTTGGTGGTGAGACACTAGAGGTTGTGGAGAGCTTTGTCTACTTGGGAAATTGCATCACTGCTGGCGGTGCCGTTGAAAACGAGGTTTCGATGCACACCTCGAGAGCATGCCTCGGTTTTCCTAGGCTGAGGCATTTGTGGCGTCGCCACGACATTCATCTCTCCATCAAAAGGCGGGTTTGTTGTGCAGCTGTTGGTGCTGTCCTGTTGTACGGATGCGAGACCTGGCCCATTCGTAAAGATGACTTGCGCAGGCTATCCGTCTTCGAGCACCGCTGTCGACGGACCATTGCCCGTGTGTGGTGGCAGCACCATGTAAGCAATGTGAAGTTAGACAGCGTGTCTTGGGACGTGGAAGCCACTCGCCCAAGGAGCTCATCTCACTGCATCAACTGCGGTGGTTGGGACACGTATTGCGCATGCCGGTCCAGCGTTAGCCGCGTCGTGCGTTGTTTGCGGTTGCTAAACCGAGCTGAAAAACACGGTCTGGTACACAGCCTACATCATGGTGAAGCCGCATTGAAAACCTGACGAAACAGTTGGCCTCCGTCGGTTGTTGTCGACTACCTGGTTGGGGTCCGAGAGATGCGGATACTTGCTGGTTGAAGACCTTGGAAGTCATGGCTCAAGATCGATGTCAGTGGCGGACGTGTGCATCGGTGTGTTACGATGTCCCTTCTTTCTCCCTCCTAAAAAACAAATTGAAAACGTTTTCAAAAACTGAGTGGTAAACTGGACAAAAGAATATATATATATATATATATATATATATATATATATATATATATATTCTCAATTGCGTGGCAGAAAAAGGCCGATAAGGATAGAAGTCCCGCGTTGCAGAGCAAACATCTTTTGCTTTGCCCTCCATTGTGCATTGACGACAAGACCAAGATTAGTGTGGAAGTTTGTGTGATCATAACTAACGGGCGAATAACAATGAACCCAGTTTGACCTATTGCTCGTTAGCTTCGATAGTGCCGAATCAATAACAGCAAGTGGATATCCGATCTGGACTGGCTTGAACAATACTCAAGTATTTACCACTAGTGTATCGGCCGGATGAAATGAACCAGTTTGTAAATCACTGTAGTTGATCTGAGGTATAAAATGAGTTTATGTTTTTCTAACCTACATTATGTTGATTGAGGCCCAAACTCCGTTTTCGATTCACTGAGGGCCATTACCTAGAAGGTAAACAGCATGGTTTGAAAGAAAGACTCTCGGTGGAAATACCATGTGGATCCGTTCTAACCATGCCAACAAGTCTCTCCAGTTTGATATATTCAGACCACATGGATTCGCTAGTTATCAATTATTAATCAGAAGACAGTTTCCCGTAGAACCTTACCCGGCTTCGATAGTCACGGTAGATTGACTGCATAATGGAAAGGAATTTAGCCGACAAGCCTTTCATGGATAGACAGGGCCACAAGCTGGTGCGGTCAACAAATTCGGAGACAGCTTTCAACTCGAGGAAAACCACCATAGTCGGTCGTCTGTATGTATTACTCTGCTCCAAAACTTGACGCAGCGCAGGTATGTGATCGGTACAACCACGACCAGGGCGGAAGCCAGCCTGGCTCTTAGTTATTCGGTTCTCACGCGGACCGATAAGGGGTTTTGAAGATCGGCACACTCAACTGCGCGCTCTGGGTCCACGCTAGGGTCACAAGGCGAGTGACCGTTTTGTTCACAGCCTCTGCAGCGGCAACTGATCGCGATTTAACCAATTTGCGCAAATGACTGGTGGAAGTCACATCAACCTTCTGCGGATACTGTGTCGGATGTTCGTGCTCGCGAGAAATGGACGAGTGTCTCCAAATATGTGTAGCCTTTGTTTTTTACTCTTCTGTTTCTCACAACTTTGTCTTGTTTTGTTTTACGATCACGCGTATCGTTCCACGTAGACTAATTACTCGGATGAACTCAACTTTACCTGCGTATATGTTGCTTTCTTACCTTAAATGTGAACCATTAGTGGGTTCATTTTGATCGCCCGTTGTTTGAACGGATTGCTACATGCAACCTCAATGTGAGCCACGGTAAAAGTCGTAGTGAATATCCGTCGATTCGGCCATTGTGACAATATCTGAAGTTGATGTTACATGTTTGCAATGTTGCACTATTTTGGCAGCTATCGCAGCGCAGCGACTCTAGTTTGGGATTCGTAGACTACTAACAACTGGCTTGTGGACGTGCATGCAGATATCCGAGTTAATTGGTTACGCTGTTTCTTGAACGTATGCAGACGTGCATGTCTTCTCAGTAGACTGAAAATGCGTCCTGTCGACGTTGTGTTTTCCCTTCCAGCCTGTTTTTTGAATGCCTCTCACTCTTGTTCGGCTCTGCAAAGCTGAGTTGCCCCCATCGTTCAGTCACCTCCACTAGCTTCGCTTTCTGGTCAGACAGAGGGACCCCATTTACCACTCACCATGTGCATTTAGGGAGTTTATATCCATTCTATACTATTTCAGCTGTATGGGTCAAAATACTGCTTTACTAGGCCTTACTCTGGTAACGTTCTCTGTAAGGTTATTTTCGTTTCTAGCTAACAGCTGTGCTGACGCACTTCTGCTGCTGCTTAAGATTCGGGGAACGTTTCTTTTCCGCCGATTCGTTTTACTGTCCTGTTGCGTGGATTGGGATGACGTAACTTCAAAGGGTTTATTTGTATTCGACCAGCAATACCATCTCTTGTAGAGAATCTACTCTTTCTCTTGTACTGATACATCGCATTTTCTTCTTGCTCCATTTTGATAACCTCTGTCTCACGACCATTCTCCTCTAGGGTCGCATTTACGTTCTGGTCACAGATATGGGCCTTCTCAGTGAACCCAACGTGGTGTGGGAAGTGTTGAATGACGTTGACGGTGACACCGAATTTGTTGATTCCGCTTTTCACTTGTATTCCCCGGAAACCGCGTCATCAACCACCATCCCACCGTCATCGGCTGCACCTGATTCTGATCGATACGCTAGTGGCGGTGGAAAGATAGACCTGCCCAACAAAAACTCGGCGGATGGCCTTCCGAAATGCTCTCCTGAGTAAGTGCCATGCTGTTTTATGATTTTTTTAAACACTGAATGTTCAACTGATCACTTGGTGTCCTTTTTCTCCCGAGTCCGATTTTCCTTTTGCACTGAGAGAACGAATGTACTCAGATTGGTGTCATCGCACTACGTCGGACCTCCCCAGCTATCCGTTTTTCTTATTGTGATTTAAGTAGGATTTTAATTCAGCACTGTTCAATGGCATTAATTCATATTTCTCCGTTACATCTCAGTCATTTAGCTTAACATAATAGTGTCTTGCGTAACCCTGTGATCCATTGATCTTTGCTTTGTGGAACCTATAAGTGCTTTCAGATGCACTACAGCTCGGCGCGATAATAGTCAGAAGCCCGGTCATCCGATACCTAAATGTACTACACCGTCGCGCGGCTATAGCCATGAACCTCACTTCCACTCACTGCTCTAATATGGCTAATGCGTATGAAACCGCCGCTCATACGAGCCGGTCTATCTGACACGCCCTCTCCGCACCCTATATTGTCGGCTGTTTTACCAATATCTCGTGAATTGACGCTTGGTCAATACACTGTCCGGTGCGGTGAAATCTTTGTTCTGACGGCTCTACGCCACATCGACCGCGACTATAAAAATAACTCTCGACTAGAAGGACGAATATAGTCGATGTTGAGGGATCCATGAATTCTCAAGCAGTTTGCTTATCGCACTGCATAATGTAACCTGGAGGAAATTTCGTTGCCAGCCTGATTGTGGTCATCGGTTAATACGATGATGCAACGTCACAACTGTTAAGTTAGCAGCATGGCTCCCCAAATCGAACGCCCACTTCAGGTTCTTTGGTGCCCATAAAACGCAACGATGTTTTCAATCCATGCAGACCATACTGAAATCCGTTGCAAATGGCGTTCTTCACTACTTGTTTACCTACCGTTTTGGACTGCGTAACTCTGTTCCCGCCCAACAACATAACCCTCATTCTACCAGACTTAACAAAGTGTGCGACTTCGAGGTTTCTCACTCGTTGACAAAACACGTTTTACAATTCGGTTGTGTCAATTTCAATTACTCGTTGCCTGTCACTGACAGGCGGCGTGCTTGAGCCGAATACCGATTGGAATGGTCTCTAAAATATCATATCCTATTGAAGACATCCGACAGATCGTTGGCCTGCTGCTGCTAATGTGCCGTGGTGATTCCGGGTTGGAGTTGGGTTACTCTCTTCTTCTAGCTAAGAGCCAGGACACACACGATTCCGCGTGAGTTGGTTCAGTGACTCATGGTGACCGACCCGCTGCCTTTCGGGTGTGCATTGTATCGTACGCTAAGGATCCGAGTCGTTCTCCTGTCAGGTGTGGACACCCTGACAGTGTCCTAGTCCAACCCCAAAATATGAATCGCGCCAATAATCATAATTTCATGCTTCATCGGCCGTCGCGCAGTGGTGTTAGGAAAAGGGTCGCCTTATCTCCTGCATACAGCGGGGTGGATATGCGAAAACGTGATACTACTGGCGCCTCCTCTCCTCATTCCTTGCGTTTACTCTCTCCATCGCCTTTTTGTATAACCCACTACTTCCTGCGATCCAGGTAACTACACGTGCGATCGTCCGCCACTGCAATCGTACGTCTCTGCACAAAGCGCTCAACATTGGATGCTGGAACGTGCGCACGCTGCTCGACCGGAACACGATTGAGCGGTCTGAGCCACGCACTGCAGTGCTCGCGATGGGAATCGCGCGTTAGGGGATTGACCTTACCGTATTCAGCGAGACTGGCTTGCTGACAAAAGCACGCTATATATATATATATATATATATATATATATATATATATATATATATATATCACGATTTATGTACAGATATTGTGTCATCGGAACCACAGCGGAATAGGAAAACTGGTTAAGAGTAAAGGAAAAATGGAAACAAACCACTTTTTGTCCATTTTCCCACTCATCCTTTTTCGAGTTTTTGGGGGAAGGAGTATCACCGCAACAAGCAGAGATACACGACCGCCACTGACTTTGGTTTTGTGCCATGACTTCCAAAGTTTCCAACCAGCGGCACTCAGCATCTTTGGGACCGCATCCAGGGAGTCGAGGGGAACCAACCGAGGCCAGCTGTTTTGTCAGCTTTTTCATCTTGCTTCTAGTTGTAGGCTGTCCACCACACCGCCTCCTCCAGCCCTGTCCAGCGACGGCGAATAAGGCACAACCCGGAAGACGCTGAACAGGCATACGCAGTACGTGTCAAAGCCATCGTTGTTGGCGCAGCGAGACGCGCCCTCGAGGGAGTGGCTGCCTCCACCCAAAACACGTTGTCTGACTTCAACGTTGCTTACGTGGTGCAGCCACCACACACGGGCGATGGACCGCAAGCAACGGTTCTCGAAGACAGACAGTCGGCGTAGATCATCGGTACAAGCAGGCCAAGTCTCGCAACCGCCCAATAGTACAGCGCGGACGGCCGCAACATAAACCCGCCCTTTGATAGAGAGACGGATGTCATGGCGGCGCCATAAATGCCTCAGCCTGGAGAAGGCGAAACGAGCTCTTGAGATGCGCATCGAAATTTCATTTCCAACAGCCCAACCAGCAGTGATGCAGCTTCCTATGTAGACAAAACTGTACAACTTCCAGCGTCTCACCATCGATGGTGAGTGCAGGTAGGGGTATATGCCAGTCTTGAAAAAGCGCTTTGCACTTGGATGGTGAAAAGTACATGGCATACTTCGACGCCTCAATAGCCAAGCGGTTAAGTGCAAGTTGAACGGCCTGCGGACCGTCACCCAACAAGGCGATCTCATCAACATCATCCAATTCAACCACCTGACTACTTGGGAGGATCTCAACGCCAGCGTTCAACCAGTCTTCTAGTGCATTTTTGAGGACATCCTCAATGCCAAAGTTGAAATGGAATGGAGAGATAGGGCATCCTTGTCGAACCCCACTGTTGACGGCAAAGGAAGACGAAAGCTTGCCATAAGCCCTAACTCTACCCGAGATCAGACTATGCAGAGCACGCAGTACGGAAATGTACTTCCTGGGAATGCGTTTCCTCGGTAGACGTTGCCACAATGCAGCCCTGTCGACAGAATCGAAGGCAGCACGGACATCCGGAGCACAACAATCGTTGGTTTTTGCTACACATGGCGGAGCTCGAGAATCTGGCGGAGTGTGAAAATCTAATGGATGCAGCCGCAACCAGCGTGGAACCCAGCCTTTTCTTCTTGCTGCACCGATTCGCGCGTTGGATAGCCTGCGAAGAATCATGGACACCAGGATCTTGAAAACGACGGGAACCAAATTTATGCCCCTGTAATTGGAACACTTTGTGCACAGGCTCTTTTTGATGGTGGGGACGACTATCGACTTACTCCAGAATGATGGAACCTCTTCTTTTGCCCAGCTTTTTGAGAACAAAGCAGTGAGTTCTCGAACCAGCGAATAACCCCCAACTTCAAATAGTGCAGGAGGTATGCTATCAGGGCCGGGTGCCTTATAACGCTTTAGGCAGTAGAGTTACCGCCGGATTTTCTGCTGAGAGGGATGATCACGTGGGATGGTCCACTCATCACCCGTACGCGCCCCAGGGGAAACAGATGGAGCTGGTGGCCAGGAAACCTGCAAGCGAAAATGTTCGGCCCATCACTCCAACGGTCGTTGAAGTTTAGTGATTAGGGAGCCATCCTCTTCGTAGATTGTTTCGCCTACTCCAGATCGGAGGCCTTCGGTAATTCGGATAAGGGAACAGTTTTCTGGTATTACCAGAGTGATTAGCAAGTTCCGTCTATCTAGCACGTTTACACCACCAGGTCTCACGGTCTTTCTGTAAGCTCCTACGCAACGCTCGATCCAGGGATCGGCGTTCCTCACTACAGCTGGTGTCGGCTGGGATCAAGCGGCGTCTGTCTATCAGTGACAAGGAAGCGGTGGTGATCCAGCTTTTCGGCGAGTAAGCAATTCCACAACTGACAGTACTGGCAGAAATTAAGGCGTCTTTGATGCGCATCCATTGCGAATTCAGACCATCGTCAGAGGATGAAGCAAACAGTGTTGACAGAGAAGTCTGGTACTTGGCTAACGTCGCAGGATGTTGCAGATTTTCGACGTTCGGTCGGTAGTGCGTACATCTGGGTGATCCTCCGAAACGAATGCAAATCTTAGCGCGAACCAGTGCGTGATCGGAGTCCAGACAGGCACGCTGCATGCGGCTGGTGCTGGGTACACATTCTACTGGGTGGGAAACGCCACCACAGCATCACATGAACATGGGTTCGGATTTGCACTATTTGACCGATTAAGTGATTAGCTGAGGACAAAGGCGACTAGTATGAACTCACCATTGAGGACACTTCGCCTGCGCCTTGGAAGAGGTAAGTTTTCCACTTTTATTAACACATGGTCCCACCATGTGTTATCCTGGTGACACGCTTAGTTATCCTCCGTGATACGGTCTGTTCCGAGGAGCGACCGGCTATTCCTACTGGTTATTTCAATGCGCGCTTTGGCCGTGATGCCACAGTCTGAGCAGTCGTCATCGGCCTGTTTGGCATAGGCACAGCCAATGGGAACGGTGACCGGCCGCTCTCATTGTGCGACAATCACGACCTGACGATCATGAACGCACATTTTGCACTGGGTGCAAGTGATATAGGTAATTGGATGCACCCAGCAGGTGGTCACGCTCACGCGTTTGACTATGTCCTCGTACTCCAGCGTGACATGCGTGAAGTGCGCGTGACACGTGTACTGCGTGGAGCTGAGTGTGGCGTAGATCACAAGTTGGTGGATACCAGATTGTTCATGTATCTTCGTAAAGCCATGTATTATTCCCCTGTCGTGAATCGGTAGAAATTCAATGTGTGTTCCTTAGGTACTGTTGAGAAGTGGTTGTAACTGGAGTAGGCGATGGCTACCCACCCATACAATGTTGACTCCATCGCGTCAGTCATCTACCTGTGGCATCAAACTAAGGAACACGTTACCGCTGCGGCCGGGGAAACGATCAAACGCGC